TAACTAACAAAGAACTTTAAACACTTTACCGATTAAAAGCTGTCTGTGCTTGCTGTTTCCGTCGATTCATGTTTTTCAGAACAAAAATAGAGAAAGTGAAAAGATCATCAGGCCTTTGGAAAAAAGGGAATAAAAAATAATATTTAAACAAAGTAGAAAAGGAGATGGATATAATGTATAAATAAATATTTTTTTTTCTAATTTGCCTCGGACCGGCAAATTAAAATTCTATCCGTGGGCCGGATAGAACTTTCCTAAGGGCTGGAGTTGGCCCGCGGCTGCTGGCCCCCGGCTGGAGTTGGCCCCCGTAGTTTGTCCATCCCTGCTTTAAAACATCCTTCTTTATCCTTCTGTATTGGAGCTTTCAGGTACAAAATTCTTACGTTAAAAAGGATTATAGGGTGTAGACTACTCCAGATTTCTTTAATAGACTGTTAATGAATTTTAAAGAAATTTCATCTTTTAAAATTTTGATGAGAATTAGATTTCTTCTTTTTGTGTTTCTATTTCGGTGCAAACATTTTAAATTCTGCTAATTTGGTTAATAATAGTATTTGCAATAACGTTTTTAAAGTTCCAATTTATAAGTTTATTAATAGAAAAATTAAAATTTTTGCTTATATCAAAACTTTTAATTTCTGTTAGATCATGAATACTTAAATCAAGATAAACTATTTTTGTTTGGTTTTATTAAGTTTTAGACAGTTTGGGTCCATGTTGCTGTTTTCGATGAGATTATAGTTGTTGAAAGTAATAATGTCATCAATATATCTATAAGTGTATTCAAATTTACTGAAATCGACGGCCAGTGTGTTCAAATTTACTGAATTCGAATCAGAAAGGCCCCTTAGGAATTTGAATTATTTAGGAAACGGAAATAAGTTATAAATATGAGTGGAATATGAACTTCCCATTGGAATAACCTGTGTTTGCAGGTAAAGAATGTTTGAATATTTAATATAGTTTTTGTATAGCGAAAAATGCAGAAATTCTTTCCATTTTTGTAAATCCAGAATATTAAGTATTTCAGGAAAACATTCTGTCATTTCTAAAAAGACTTTCGTAAATTTCTTTGAGTGGCAAAGACGTCTAGAGGTTTCCAAAGTCATAGCAGTTAATATTGTAAATTTTAAGATTTCTAACTTTCTTCAATGATTTTCAAAGTTGTCGTAAATAATAGCAGAAGTTTTTGTCGGCTTTAACTTGTTCAGAAACCATACTACAAATAGTTTTAAGTGATTGGTAAACATATTTTCAAGATTCTTCTTGACGTTTCTGGTACTATTGGCTATAAATCTTGAATGAGATTATAGCTCAAAGCAAAAAGGAACTTGAAAAAAGTCAAGGTCTTAAAAGGAATTAAAAACTTGAAAAATTGACTTCGGAAGTTTCCACAATTAAAAAAGCAACTTACCAAAATTGATAAAGCAAACAATAATTTCAGCATTTTATGAAAAAATTCTACAATAACATAATTGAAAATGAACTGAAAAATTCCTCTACCTATAATATATGCAAAAATAAAGAAACAATTCTTATTAACAAAATTTCTACTTTTCACAGAATATGGAGAATTTCTCTCTTCATTAAAAATAACAGATTTGCCATTCTTTATGACTTATCGAATTTCATAAAAATCCTGCCAAATTTAGATTTATAGTGAATAGTATAATATTTTTATCAATTTATTAAAACTATTTGTAATGTAGTTTTAAGTTAATATGACCAATCAAAACCAAACAAAAATAGTTTTTTTTTTTATCTAAGTATTCATAATCTAACAGAAATTAAACGTTTTGATAAAAGCAAAGATTTTAATTTTTCTACTAATAAAACTTGTAGAGACATTAAGTATTTTTTGGAAGCGAGAGAGATAAAAATTTAGCAAACACGCCTTTCCCGGGAATCGGGTCACGGACCTCTGAAATATCGGCTCAGTTGTGCGGACCACTATACCACGAAGGCTCGCAAGGAAGGAGGGAGAAATACCTTATAAATTGCAACTCCGACAAATCTAAAAAAGTTTCGCTGTACAAAAACTATAATAAACATTCAAGCATTCTTTATCTGCAAACACAGAGAATTCCAATGGGAAGTTCATATTCTACTCATATTTATAACTTATTACTATTTTCTAAATAAATCAAATTTCTAAAGGGCCTTTCTGATAACGATTTCAGTAAATTTGAACACACTTATAGGTATATTGATGACATTATTACTTTAAACAATTATAATATAATCGAAAACAGCAACTTCTACCCACACTCTTTAAAACGTAATAAGACCAATAAAAACCAAACAGAAATAGTTTATCTTAATCTAAGTATTCATAATCTAATTGAAATTAAACTTTTTGATGAAACAAAAATGGTACTTTTCCGTTTTGCAGGAGCAAGCGATAAAGTCGCCAATAATGGCACAGCTGATTCCAAACGGAATATCCTCGCTGGTAACCTTTCAAAACAAGTAGCAGTCATTTCTTATCAGATTGATTGTTTCTTTCAATACTGGCATACAATTACATAGAATTTTTACCAGATAGTTCAATTTTATGCCCTGAGGCCGTTCGCGGTAATTAAGTCAATTAGGATTCAATCACAACACTCACCCGAAGGCAAAAATATAGAAAAGGTTAAACTTAACAATCCTAATGAGAGTGCACTAGCGAAGTAAAGCAGTGCGGTTTTGCATAATTTCTGTGTAAGCTATTCGTACGAATTGAAATAATTCTTGCATTTAAACTTGTATTCCAAATTAAGATTTAACTTGAAATTAATGTTGATAATTACTGAGAGAATTAGACTTTTGTAGCATAGATTACGTGAGATGAGATCACTTGGAGTCACGTGATATGAACCGGCGAATCAGGCTATTGAACCATGAAAGCATAGTAAATTCTTAAATTAATGTCATTTTACAAATATTTTGTATTTATTTATTGGCTTTTTACAAAATTTTAAACAATATTAAAATGTTTATGCCTTCAAAATAAAAAATTATTAGAACTAACATTTATTAACATTTTTAAAGTCTGCTTGTCGAGATTTGCGTCGGCGAAACGGAAAAGTAACCTAAAAATTTTAAGTTTTCTTCTAATAAAATCCGACATATCTAAAAAGTTATTTAATTTATTGCAAATACTATTATTAACCAAATTAGCAGAATTAGAAAGTTTACACTGAAATAGAAACACAAAAAGAAGAAATTCTAATTCTCACCAAATTTTAAAAGAAAATGAAATTCCTTTAAAATTCATTAATAGTCTATTAAAGTAATCTGGAGTAGTCTGCACCGTATAATACGTTTTGAAAGTAGAAAGCTCCGAAAGAGAAGTATAAAGAAAAATGTTTTAAAGGGTTTATAGGATTTATTTTTTATTTTTTCTCTTAATTACTATTCTGTTATTAATCAAGGGCCTTATATATTCAGAGTCGCCATGATAAGCCCATGACGTGAAGACTTATTATTTTTCTAACAATAGTTCCTTTACTTCCTTTTTCAACCTTTTTTTGTAATTTTAAATATCAAAATTAAAAAATCTAAAATTAAACTTAATGCATTTTTTTGCTCATATCTATAAAACAATTGTTAAAAAATTTTGATCACTTTTTGGGCACCTTTTTGATAGCTTTAAAGAATAATTTATTTTAAAATTTAATTAAGGTTTTACGCAGAATAATCTTCTTTATTACCATTTTTGCATTAAAAGAGTCAGAATTTACCTAAATTTCTTTTTAATTAGTTATTTTTTTTTTTTTTTTTTTTTTTTTTTTTTTTTTTTTTTTTGTAAAAATTAAAATTTTCATAGAGGTATTTAAAAGTTTTCCTTTTGGTTTCAAAATTCCATCTTTTTTCCAATTTTTAGCCTTTTTAGCGATTACTTTCTCGCCAAGGTACTTTAGTTTCGCTAATGAAGCCAAAATGGAAACCTATTCGTCACTACTGTAACGTTCTTCATTGTTCCGATTGTGTTCTAAAGTAAGTGCTCGAAGTTTTTAATTGCTTCTTGTGAGTTTTAGCTCTTTCCTCAAAAGCTTTATAATTTCACTTACGTTTTAAATTCTTTGGATTATGTGCTATTTGTTTAAACGTAAAATTTTTATTTGAATTTTTCACTGAAGTATTTTATTATTTCACTAACATTTTTATTCTTTAACTAGAATTCTCTTTATTTTAAGTACAAGACTGTAATTAGTATTTACGTTGTTTTTTTCCTTGCTTTGGGGAGAGGCCAGAATTTTCGTATGAACTATTATAATTAAAATACACTGAAATGGTTCATCGGCTAATTCTAGTTACAGAAAAACAAGGATTTTTGTGGAAGAGTGACTTCAATTGATTTCAGTGTTCGTCTGCTTGACGAAGTGGCATTGATGTTGATTGAATTCCTCTTCTATTATTTTCGTTTTCCTTTATATTTCTTTAATTTTTCGAATTGGGGTACTGCTTGTTTGAAAAGTTTTGGTTTTAACAGTTTTAAAATTTTTTATTGCATTTATAAGATTTTTTAAAATTTATTAGTTATGAATTTCAGTTTTTGGTCTTTGTGAAAAATTAGTTCTAAATTTTTACATTATGTCTTTACTTATATACTTTACTTATATGTCTTTACTTATATATAAATTTGTATTGCAGGATAGTAAAGTACCTGAAGCTATAATATTATAAATTTTAGGAGGGGCTGATTTTTTATATTTCAGTACTTCTTTATTAAAACTTAATTTTTTTTTTATCAATGCGCAGTTTTCCTGAATTCATTGAATAAACAGCAGTTTCAGTGGACATTTTTCTCAATTATACATCATTATTTATTATTTACATTTTAGCTAACTAAATTAAATTTTGTAAAACTAATATACATTAGTAAAAATAGTTATAATACAATTTCAACCTTAAAAAATGAAATTACGACAATACTGCATCCGTTCTTCGATTATTATTTTTTAAAAATCGAGAATAATATTGAAAATTTAAATTTAGCTTTCAGTTACCCTTACCTTCAACTCGGAATACTCATATAATGATTCAAATAAGCTCACTGGATCTCGGACAATGGATATGTAAAGCGTATCTTTTGGCATAATCTTTTCTATAACTGGTTTATTGAACACCATGTGGTGGCATATTATATTGTATCCGAGGATTTCCCAAGGAGCACCTGCAATCATTTCTTTTCGAAATGGCTTCACTAAAGAGAAAAAATGATTGTACTTTGGAAGCACAGGAATCACGATAGTCAAATTCCGTGTGTGCGCATAACGCATCAGTATATTCTGGACAGAAGAACTGGCGCATTTGTGCGTTTTGAGAAATACTATGTTTTTTCTTGGTAAGCATGAAATTGTTTTGAAAGAATTGTGTATTTCAGGTTTCGTCCACCTGTAAAAGAAAGAAAAATGAGTTATGCAATTTTCATAAAACGAATCTAGAACATGAGAGAAAACAAAAGAACACCGTTTCCCCTCATGAAAAATTATTAAAAAATATTCGTATTACGTATAAAAATTCAAATATGTATATTTGTATTAAGTTTCCGTTCCAGAAGGCAATATTTTAAATAAAAATTTTGGGGTTAATCTGTCTCATCAACTGATTAACAATTTACTAACATTCTGTTGCCATTGTGGGCATACACACGAACATTATTTTCGTAGTACTAACTGGTAGCTCAGATACACGATCATTAAACAAGCTATCTGCCTTTGATATGCTAGTGCTGTCTAGGAGACTATAGTTTATGCAGGCAATGACATTAAAAAACGCAGGTTAAAGAAGATGGTAAGATTAATCCAGATATTCTAAAATTAAACTTTTACTAATGACAATAATGCATGTTTTTACTATGGGTGATCTGAATTTCTGGTGCTTTGTCATTTAGTGATACACAAGAAAAGAAAATTTAATGATACACAAGAAGAAAGAAAATAATTCTGAACTTCAAATTTAACTTAATTTTTTATATTAATTTAATGAATTTTAACAAATTTAAAACCCAAACGTGGATTAACATAGTAAGTGTAAGCAATATAGCAAAACAAACATTAGGCCCCGTTCAGACGAGGGCGTAAAGGGCATAAGTGGTTAAAGCCGAGCTCCGTTGCCAAGGCAACCTCACTGCTACGTCAGCTACGTCACAGAATCTGGTTTAAGGCTCGTGGCACAAGGTTCCAAGTTTTCAACTTGACGCCGAGTTTGGGATAAGCCGTCGACCTAATCAGAGCGAAGCTAAAACAAAAGCGGCTTTCTTTAGACGATTTCGCTGTCACTATCGAAGGCGACTTTTTTTTTTTTTTTTAATATGGAAGCACATCGTATACGAAATGAGTTGTAATCATTATCCGAACGAAATAAATGAGTTGATCTCGCAAGAAAACCTACGATGATGACATGCATTTTTTAATGAGTTTTTAATGCTTTTTTAAGGAGTTTTTCAATTTATATTGAAAAATATGGATGAAACTTCGTAAAGTGAAAGTTAAAGCTCAGGATTATGCATGCAGTGTATGATCCTGTAGATGATTGATCCCATCCAATATTTTTCATTTTATTATGAGAATTCTTTTAAAAAATGCATGCTTGCAAAAATTTTATTTTTTCTGTGTAAATTATTATTATTATTTTCTTTCTGTCTATAATTTTTTCCTGTTTAATTATTTTTGTATTTAAGAATAAATTTATTTAAAAAGCTGGAAATATTTATTGCTATTTGCTTCAAATGCTGATTTTCTTTCCAAACAAACTTCATGAATTAATTTTACTAAAACATCAAATCAATATCAAGAATCTGCTGTTTTTTTTAACAGTAAAAATATTACTAAAAAAATATTTTCACTTATTTATTTAAGAATAGTCACAATAGTAAATTCAATGGTGTAAGCTTTGTATAAGTAATAAAAGATTAATCTTTTGAGAAAATGCTCTTATGAATTCCAAGAAGGAGAAAATGCAGTGAAATATCCTTAAAAAACAGTCAACAGTCTAGACAGTTTTGTCTCCTGTTGATGATCTGTTTTTTAATTTCGTTCTCCATGAAAGGAATTTACTTTTAATGAAACTGAATAGCAAACATAATTCATAACATGGACTATAATTTAATGAATAGTATTTGCTATTATTATCCACTCCTTATTACTATCATTTGAATGCAGTTTTGATCATTAAATTCATGCTATTTCTCTGGTAGAAATTCCTGGATAAGGTATGAATGTTTATAATTTTGATGTATTTGAAGACTTGGGTACCTAAAATTTGTCAATGTGAAATTACTTTTGAGATTTGGTCGTAAATAGAAATGACAGCATATGTTGAAATTAAATTCAGGGGTGCGGCTTATACATGCAAATTATTAAAAATAGATGTATACAAATAGCTCGCAAGACAGCAAAATGTATTTAATGATTGAGCATAAAATACATTGTTGGGTGAACGTTTCCTAGTATGGTATTAGTTGTGGTTGCTGGTCATTGTGACCAGTAGTGGGATACTAGTACTAGTGATAATTGATACTGGTAGTGCAGCAAACTACTATAGTGATCGACAGGGATAGTGAATAAGGAGTGCTAAGCACACATGTTTCACTGTCACAGGAACATGTTCCTTTTGATTGAAAATTTAAAATAATAATAATAATAATAATAATAATAATAATAATAATAAAATAATAATAATGTATGGTAAATACTGTTTTTAGCTTAACTGCTTTCACACCTGCAAAATGGAAAAATATTATATACAGGCTATCTGTTAGTTATCCTCAAGATTTTTTTTTTAATTAGGCATATTTAGAATATCGCATTTCTCCTAAGAGAAATTATATATAAAAATTGAAGAAGGTTTTATATAGTATATAAATATGCATGTGTATATTTATAGTATAGAGTGTACTACAGTACAATGCAGAAATATTCCATACTGCTTTGCACAGAAAGATATGTGCCAACTAAGTATTGGTCTTTCAAAAAAAAAATATCTCTAGACCATTTCGTTATTTTTTTTTTACCTTCTTCCGTTGCCTCATGGCTTATAAGAAGGGCAGATAAAAGAGCATTCTGTTGAACCAGTAAAACTTTGTGTTGAGCTGAAAAAGCCATGACACAAAATAACGAAAACGAGCAGAGCGAGCGCGAGAAACCAATTGAGCTAGAAAACAGCGCGCGAAAGGTGTAGGCACATCCACGCATGCGCAAATTTAGCTTCTCTCATTGGCCACAGCTTAGACCCGTCTCGCAGGTGTGAACGGATGTCCCGTATTTTATGCCCTTATGACTATGCCTCTATGCGCCTTACACCCACGTCTGAACGCAGCTTTAGACGACAAATAAACTACTAAACTCAGTGGCGTAACAGCCCAAGGTATTCTAACCTCCTTGTAACAGCCCTAGTGGGCCACGGCCTGCAGTGCCCAGAAATCTGCTTTCATGATCTTGGGTCCCGGAGTGCATCAGCATATGACCTGGAAAAGTGGTCAGCTTGTCGCAGTCCCCGGTGCCAATGAAAGTCTATGTAAAGAAGGAAAGGCTCCATAGACGTAATGTAAACCAGTTTGTCTTCTACGCCGCTAGAAAGAAAAGGGACAATTCGCCAAGGGATTTGGCGACGGAACCTGTTGGCGAGAATTTCCCCCTTTGTGATGTACCTGGCCGAGATTTTCCACCTCCGCCACGTGTACAGGAAATTGAGGAACACTGGTTAAGATAATCGTTCTTTGACTTTTCGCGATAATTTAAACTCGAATTTTCGTGTTTTTTTGCTTTACTAGTTGAAGTTGTATTATCCATATCGCAGTTTGATGTCTGATTTTATATCTGTCAATATGTAGGGAAAAAAATGGAGTCACACAGCTTTAAACTCTTGATAAACGTGACCATCGAACCTGTTCGAACTTCGACATCAGCTTCAAGCTTTGGCGCTTTTTGACGACAGATATATCACGCATGCGCAGTTGTGTCCCTTTTCGTTCGGAGGGAGCCACTCCTGCTGCTAAGAAGCTTTCCTTCTTACAATACATATTCTTTGCCGGTGCTTAGTCCCCAAGCCAAAGAATATGTATTGATAAGAAGGAAACTTCTCCGCAGCAGGAGTGGCTCCTTTCCAACGTAGAGGGAAGCAGCTGCGCATGCGCGAAATATCTGTCGTGAAAGCTCGAAGCCGGCATCGAACTTCGAAGGTCACGTTTATCAAGAGTCCATAAAATGAATATCGTTTTAAATTTCTTTAAACTTTAAAGGAAAAGTAAATATTTTTTCGCTCAAGTAAATTAATTAATGGATTAGTTATTTTGAGCAAAAAAGGCGCGAAAATCCGAGTTTAAATTATCAGGAAAAGTCAAAGAACGTTTCTTCTTTACACGTGTTCCTCAATTTCCACTACACATTGTAGAGGGGAAAATTCTCGCCGCCAGGTTCCGTCGCCAAATCCTTTGGCGAATTTTCCCTCCTCTTTCTAGCGGCGTAATAGCAAACTGGTTTACATTACTTCTATGGAACCTTTCCTTCTTTACATAGACGTTCTTTGCCCAAGCGAAGTACTCATTTTTGGTACTCATTTTATCGACCCACTTAAGGGATGAAAGGCTGAGTCAACCTTGCTCAGCCTGGGAATAGAACCCCAGACTTGTGCAGCTGCGCGACGCGCTAGCCATTTCGCCACCGAGCGGTCATTAGACGACAAATATTGAAAGTAAAATAATAGCAGTGGACATGCTATATAACGATACTAAACTTCAAATGTCGAGTTTATACTGTCATCAGGGTTCGTAGCGGTCCTTGCAAGTGCTTATAAGTCTTATATTTGAAAATAAAATATAAAAGCTCTTATAGATGCTTACTTTTTCCCTAAAGCGCTAATTTTTTGCTTTTAGTGCTTTTTTTAAAACGAGCGCACATTTTTTTCCTATACCAAAGCCGAAACTAAAATAAACAACTTTTCTTCCGTATCTGGAACGTCAAATGGTGAATCATATTCCCGGAAATAGCTTTTCGCTCCTTTCTCTGCATTAACGTAACCTTTGGTGCGCGCGAGTACAGACAGGTGCACGTCGTTCTATTGGTCAAAGAACTGCGAAAGCCGTAGAAAATTCTGGTACATTCCTTATTCTTTTCCTCCCAATCAAGACTACACACATTTGAATTTCTCTAAATATTTAAATAATTTGCATTCTCGTTCTGCGTGGTCAGTTCATATTCGCGTTTATTATGATCGTTATGCTTATATTATGAGCATATGTATGAACATTTATAATAATATATTTGCAATAATTGCTGAAGTATAGATAAACTTCAAAAATGGGCAAGTGTGTTTTAATACGGATTAGCTTTCTAAGGAATAATAATCGGAATTGCTTAAATAAAGTGAAAATAATGGAATAGTCAAAATAATTT